ATTTCATTTAATAAATGTTTTGTCTTAAAAACGCGACATTAATTTCTTGACGATCCTAATACAAAGAACCTGGTTGGCTACTTTGTGAAGACTTAAAAGTCTTTTGTATGTTGTTGGATCAACATTATGGTTATACAAAGTTTCCATGTTTTTCGTGTGTTGGGACAGCAGAGCATGAAATCAACACTGGCCACGCAGAGTCAGCCTGATACCAGAATTGGAAAACATTGAACGTGAAAGTCTGGTTGTCACAAAAAAAGTTCTATTACCTCTACTTCACATACAACTGGGCTTGATGAAGCAGTCTCTAAAGGCCTTAGACAAAAATGGCGACTGTTTCAAGTATCTATGTGGGCAATTCCCAGCTCATTCAGAAGGGATTTTTGTTGGGCCTCAGATTAGTAAATTGACTTCAGATGAACAGATCTAAAGGACAATGAAAAAAGTTGAAAAAGAAGCACAGATTACCTTTAAAGATGTTATTGACAAATTTTTAGGAAAGAACAAGGACCCAAATTATGAAAATATTGTCAATAACATGCTTGATAAATTCAAAGAGTTGGGTTGTAATATGAGCTGGAAAGTTCATTTATTACACTCACATATTGAGTTCAAACTAGGATGTATCTCATTTTTTTATTTGCAATGATCTTTCACAGCTCTTTCAAAGGTGGTCCTACATAGTGAGGTTATACTTGTTAACAAGTGACTGTTAACAAATTACATTATCAAAGTCAATATTACCTAGTCATATATTAATAATTTGTAACATTATCATTTAATTCTCTTTTCTTTGCTAATCAAAAATAATTTGTCAAGATCTTTCCAATGAAATGCTAGATGATGGTGTTTACAGCAGAAACAACAAGTTGATGGTTTTGTTTACTTATGACATCATTCAAATCAATATTTTGAGATTATACAAAGTCGCAAAAAGGTATAACTCCTGTCACAGTTAGAAGGGGTTCATATGAATTTAAAACTGCAGACAGAAATTCTTTTGTAATTTGTTTTGGGTCATGGTACATTTTGGCATAGGGTCACCAGTCTACAATACGATGCAAGTTCTCTAAGCATAACATTTTTAGAAAGCACAAAACCTTGTGGAGAAAGGAAAACATTCTCCTGAAGTAACTTAATTTAGATATATTTGTACACTAAAAAAAACAACACTCATTTGGAATGTAAAACAAGTATAATGGTTTCATAATACAGCTTTATAGATCATTATTCTTGTGAATACAATTTAGTCAGTAATTCAACAAATTAAAACAACTAAAATGACAAATATTCAATCATTCCTGTAACATACACAAAAATTTAAATTAGGTATGCTTGTATTCTACAGTTTAATAAAAAGTAACTGTTCACAAGCTCATTTGAACTTGAAAATTTGTTTAAGGTTTAACCATATGTATCCAGATACACAATCCTTTTCTTCAATTCCATGTAAGAAAATATCTATACTTATTTATTTTGATTTTTAGTTCTAATGAGTTTGTTCTTAACCTTTATCATCTTTATCAGCAATTATAATTTTTGAAAACAAACATTATAATATTTAATATCCCTTAGTGAGAATTTCAATGTTTCTTATCCTAATTTAAATGTTTTAAAGATATGAAGGATTCAAATAAGCATTTTGTCATTTTCATAATATAATACGTAAAGAAATGTCATAATATATTTCAGTTGTACATCTATTTTGTTTGTCACATATAATAAAGTTTGACCAAACATCACGTGGCTTCATATATAGCTAAGGTTTACATAATTACAATAAATCTACAGTTTGTTTGGTAAATTAGTGAGTGACATATTGCCATCAAAAAACCACATAAGTGCCAGGATAAGAGTTACAGGTCGAGGGACATCCTCATTAAAAATCAAAGCTTTAGCTTCTGATAGGGTCAAATCTACTACATCTATTTCTTCCCCCTCACAAGTATTTCCTCCACCACTGTGTTGTCTCATGCCATCTGTGACTTCAGCATAGAATAAAGTCTGTACTGATCCAGATACTCCAACTCCTGACCTGATGAAAAAACATTTTTGGGAAAAAAAAAGATTCAAATAATTATTAAAAAACAGCATATTTCTTAAGTTTACTTAAGATGATTATATCACACATATTTTATCAGGAACTTGTTTGTTTGCTTGTTTGAAGTTATGCACAAAGCTACATAATGGGCATTCTGTGCTCTGCCCACCACGGGTATCGAAACCTGGTTTCTAGCATTGTAAGTCTGCAGAAATACCGAAGGTGCCACTGGGGGGCATTTTCAGGAAAATAAAATACAAAAACTAATGCTAACCCTCATACAAGGAAATGTTTTAAAGACATATATACATACAGAAATGTGCAAGTATATTAGAACATCTCAATAACTATCATCTTATTAGCTTTACGCACAAAATAATCATTGACAAATTAACTTCCAAATATTGCAAATTGATCTTTTAGGAAACTATTACAAAGTTAGTTCATAAATAATATCTTTTAAGTTTCTTTAAAGATAATATTTTGCATGTTCACCTTTGGTATTGTAGAATGTAGATATACTGTTTTTTATACCTAGGCAGACCCAAAGATAGGCTCAACAACTCGAGGACAGTGCAACTGTTGGAGCTATGAGACATGATATGGAGAACAAGCATCTTGTCTCAGATGTCTCAAATGCTACATAAAGATGGGCATATAAAAATGGAGGAAAAGGTACTTGCTGAGGCATCATCAGCAATCAAAGGGTATCACCCTCTCCTTGAGCTCCATCGTAGAGGGTGGAATG